CCTGCACAAGCTGTGCAAATACAAGCTGCACTAGGCGAGCTGAGGGGCAGCAGGGGAGGGCCCGGCCGTGCCCTTGGCTGCTGCGGGGGCGCCCGCTGTGCGGCTGTGCGGCCGCGGGCCAGCTGGGGTTGAAGATTCCAGCCCACTGGCCCCGACGGCACGTTCTCGTGGAACAAAGCCCATCTCCTCCAACACAGCTTTTTTCCCAGGAATTGGCCCATATGGAATAAAATAAATAAATCACAAGTGTTTTGTGAAGGGGAAAAAAAAAAGTTCCTGCTGTACATAACTCAGGGGAGCAGATGTTTTTCCATTAGCTCACTGTTCTCTGCTGCACTGGCTCTCTTTACATTTCTTGTTCGTGGCATGTTCATTATATTTTTTTCCTAGGGTAAACTTTAGCATGTTACTGAGACAGCAGGTAGCTCACTCCAGCCCCACTGTGAATACATGGAATAGTTATCCTAGTCATTTTTCTTTCAATGCTCTTTTAAATTAGCCTTAGGTCTACCTGGTGAGGTTTGCAGACTGTGCTTTAGCAGGCATTTAGCCAATTTTAGATCAAATTACCAGACCTACTTTGCTGTAAGTGGCCATATTTGGTAAAGTATTGGGTTAGTCAAGAAGCTAAATTGTTGGATATAAAGTACTAGTAGAGACAAACAAAGTGGACATTGTAGTTAAAAGTAAAGCTTAAAATAATATAGCAACAGGAGCTGGAATATTAGAACTCTTATTAAAACTGGCTTGCAGCATTCTAAAACGCTCCGTATAAATAGAGCGTACAGTTATTACTGCCTGGAAATGTAATCACACATACTTCAGATAAGAAATCACTTCAGTTACCCAAAGAGCTTAAAACTATTAAAACTATTTCTTTTCAGTACTGACACGCTCTCTGAGTCAAAAGCGATCTTATAAAAATGTCAAATGAAGGTAAGTTTTGGTCATAAATTTGAACCATTTGAAGTGCATTTTCCTTACCCAAACAGCATGACTGTATTTTCTAAACAGTAAGAAGGAGCACTGGCATGATTTTAAAAAGGAAATAAGGGGCAAAAATAGTTCCTAGGTCAGACATCTCTCTCAGTAACACAAGCAGTATTACCACCAGTAATCTCTAGGATTCCCCTTGCAGCTCTTCCTGCAACAAGAGGTGGAAGGAGTTAACAAACTCTACCAACGCTGCAGAAGTTCCTTCTCTCCTCTCAAAGTTGAATTCAGGCTCTCAGTCATGAAAAGTAGAAAAAAGAGGAAAAAGGGGCAAACAGATCACATAAAGACCACCTCTCCTGGAGCTGCATCGCAGCAGCACATGCCCTGCATACTCCTTGAAATGACCTGTTTCTCAGAGTTGGGGCCAAGAATAATGTTTAGGCTTATTAATGTTAAAGCCTAATGAGACAACTCTCTCCTTTTAAGAAGCCATTACATTTCAAGAGGACTGGAAGGTTATTATTAAAAGGGACCAGACAAGCTGTGTTAATCACAGTCTTTGCTGCAGAACACTTTAAAACAGAGTATGCCTATTAGTATTCCTCTAAGCACGCCTGCCGCAGGGAGTGGACAACCTCTCTAGTCTTTGGGGACAGCAGACCTTGTACTCTTCCAAAGCTAACTGTGACTACCTGCAGGGAAAACAGGAAGATATGGAAGCCCGCTGAAGAAATGTGCCAAGTTCCCTGCTGCAGATGACTGTACTCCCAGCTGGTCCTACATGAGACAGCTGGACATAATCTTAACAGTGAGGATTCACAGTTTTATTTGGATGTGTGAAAGAGAAGAAGAGGACTCTTTCTAGAGACCACAAATCCATCAAGTAGCTCTTTGATTGCTTGTAGTAAGCTACAAAAAATTAGCTTCCCGAAGTTCCCTAGGCACTGCTGCAGGGAAAGCCAAGGTGCAGCAGCCTTATAGTGCAGCCCTTTTGGACTTAGCAGCTGCACTTCCAAAGCTGCTGCTTTATTATCTTCCATACATAGCTGTGCTGGTCACAAACCCAGAAAAGTTACAGATAAAACCACTAAGTCTATGTCCTCTTACGCATGAGATAAGTATCTTTATCACAGGACAAAGAGCTTGACTATTTCCACAGGGTTCACAGCCTCGCTCGCCTTCAGCCACTGTTAGGAGAACGCACAGGTTCTCGTGCGCTAATTGTGAGACCCGTTAGGAGCGCAGCGAGCGCTCTCCAGCTCCAAGGCACTGAGGCTGCTTCTGCACAAGGCAGCAACTCCTACTGCAGCTGAAGGTGGAGGGCAATACAGTAGCGATTCTCCTACACAAGCATCATCTGATAGCTACCACCCACTAAAGGTCCCCTTGCAAGCCTACGGCTTTGTGGCCTGGCCTGGCTGCTGGAGGGCTGTAAGAACAGCCTCACATCACTGTGGGATAGCTGGTTTTGTATGCTTCTTTCCAGTCTAACTGCAGAAAGCTCTAACTGGATCAGTTGGCTGGTACCATTAGTTTTCATGCCTTGGGATATGAAGAGGCACGGGAACTGTAACAGCTCTAATGGAACCCAGACACGATTGCAGCCTGGTGCTCTAAATCCATACCCACGCACAGAGACATGGCCAGCTGCGTCCTGTTAGCATCTGAAGAGGACGGATGTTTTGTTATAAATTTACCATAGTATGAGGTTAGGAAATTGTAATAGTTTTATCTAAAGATTTATGATTCACGCTAAAAAGGTTAGAGAGTTAATGACAACAAAAACAATACACGAGTCATTTCCCAAGGCAGATTAACATTTTTTTTTCCCCTCTAGAGATAGGACACTGAGGTATGAAAAAGTTAGGCAACTTGCATAGCGTCACAAGATGAGTCATTGACTGTAAAAGGACAAGTCCAAGCTAAACCTGATAGAAATCTATGGCATACTGGTGCGGCTCTATCATGAATATGAAAGGACTCCGGATGCAGGCATCAGAATGTTATGCTAATCGCCTGTTGCTTTCCACAGCGGTTAAATTTGGGGTGAGCTGTAACACACAAGCATGTGACGACCTCAACTGTTTTTAACCACGCTTTTCTGTTTAATTCGTTGTTTATGAAATATCTCCATTTTGGAAGTTATTAACTTCCTTGGAGTATACCTGTTTCTCCTTTCCCCTCATTCCAGATGGGAAAGATGCTAGTACAGAGGGTCAGCGATGCCCTTTTGGACTACTCCACTCACTAAGTCCTCTAATTATTCAGGCACTGTGCCCTTCTCCGCAGAGAGTAAATACTACCCCAAAATACCCGCATCTCTCCTCAATCCTCAGGATACCAGAATGCAGCGACTTCCACACTACTGCAAGAAGAGAATGGGCAGTAACTCATCAAGAGCTCATTAAGCTGCATCCATAGCAGTAACTGACTTCAGTAATGAAATTACAAAGCAGCCACAGTATGTATTTTCAGAATATCAATCCTGATTGAAGTCCAGTTAAAAGTAAGCATGAAACAAAACAAAGATTTAAAAAATGATAGAATAGGACAGAAAAGTTACAGCTTATAAAAATAAATTCTCTCTAAAAGAATTAATTAACACCTTTTGAGAAAGGCACTCGATTTACACTGAAAAGTAATCATAGCAATTCGCATCTAGGTCACAGCAAGCACTAGGTCTTTATTGCTTTTGTCTTTTCTCAGAGCAGCAAAAATGTAAACTGCCTAGAGCTATCTGCAGGATGATGGACAACAGACACCTGACTTCTCATCACAATAATCTCCTGGTTTTTTTTGCTCCCCACCAGCCGCCTCTGCAGCTTTAAATCAGGAGTATAAACTGAATAAAGCAAAATCTTGCTAGGGATTTTGAAGCCCACAGCACATAATTCAAATTTACATACACACAAGCCACTAAGCGAACACATGTGATTAACTTAAAGGATGATACATTCCGTAAGGTAACTTTTGTTCTTTAATAGTTAGTCAAATTGTAACAAAAAGAACGTCACATATTTCATACCAGAACTGAATTCTAATTGGTAGGAAATGGCCCACAAAACCAGCTATAAAAATCTTTGCTCGGAAGTAGGGTGAGACTGCCAGGTTTTATGTGAGAACTGTCAATTGTACAGCTTTTTATGTGAGAATTGTCAATTGTACAGCTAAATGAGAATTTGAAAGGTTCTCCTGCATACAGAATAGCAAATTATCAGCAAGGTTCCAGTGGGCTCTGCTTTTTTTCTCCTTGCAAATGGTGGCAGAGACATCTAAGAAGCAATCACAGCACTCAAATGTAATTTCAGGCACACAACTGCAGGCCTGGTTGTGAAGAAAAGCTGTGTCTCTGAAGAGCAAAACTGCAGGGTCAGAACTCTTTCTATCACTCCTGAAATGCTGGAATGCAAATGGCAGAATGTGCTGTGCAGCTCCGTTCCTCACCAAGTGTCCTACATTAAACCCTTTCATGAGTTTGGAGATCGCCTCTGGGTAGAGTTCCTTCTCACTGTTCTCTTTTCCCTTTATGTGCTCTGCTGTAGCATCTCTGCACGAGTGTCTCGAACTGACAGGCAACCTACAAGTCCTTGGGAGGTTCAAACGGTAAAGGATAAAATGAGTGGAGACTTGCTCTTTTTAATAATTTTCACTTAAACCTCAGCAAGGATTGCAAAATTCCAAGCCTAAATAACATTTAATACATGGCTTGCCCAGTCTTATTACAGGGAAGCATGTAGGAAAAGGAGAATGAAAATAATTGTTCCTACTAACTACCACTTGTTAATGAAGAACTACCTACCCTCTTCTTTTTTTTAAAAGCCTATTTTAGTGATGACTGAAGTTTTTTTGTGTGCTATGGGGAAATAGAGGTGAGCTGAAAAGTCACGCTACTCCAGTATTTTTTTGGTTATATTGACTCAAATAAGTGGTATTTCAAAAACTGGCTGGGAGAGATACAGAGTTTTTCTGCTGGAACTAGGTGATTTTCAACTACTCGGTTAATACTTATGCCATCTCATTCACCACTGGAGGGAAAAAGGAACTCCAGGTGGTCCAGGACTTACCAGCTTGTAGCCAAATTTGTTCAAGAGCTGTCCACAGCTGCATAGGTCCTTGCTTCATTGCACTGCTCTGCATAGTTATTTCAGACATGGCCTGTTCCAGTCTTGATGCAGCAAGGGAAGAGGCTCGCTGTGATCCTATAGACCGAACAGACAAGAACAATAATGCATTTTATACTTTGGGATATTTCTTTGACTCATTAATGCAGCAGGTCTGATTTTCCACTCACTGCATCAGTTTTATGTAATAAGAACTCCACTGAATTCTGGCGTGACCAACTGGAGAACTATGTTTTAGAAAAGGTTAATTTACTGAAAAAAACCCACTAAATTACCCAAGGGCTGCAGCTCAAACAAGTGAATTAAGAGACAGACGGTAATTTTATAAAGGTCTGCTAGCATTTATCAAGGAAGCAACTGTATTTTGCTCATTTGGAAAACAGACCTCTACCATCAAATATTTGCCATGAATACTTATTAGTAACCTGTTTTATAAGCACACTGTCACCATACAAAGTGTGTACAAAATATGGCCCACTAATGTAAAATCTTAGTACATCATTACAGAGCAGCTTGGCACCATTCACACAGCACACACATTTCAAGTGACATCAATATTGTTCTACTGGTTTAGAGGCAACGCGGTTCTTCATTTAACCTTGGGGAGCAGAGAGCTCAGTGCTTTGACTGTATTGACCTTTAGTATGTGCTGTAACATTTACGCAAGAACAAAGTATTTGGCACCCACATCTCTGGGACAAAACATCACATCAAAAGCTACTCCCAGGAAGAATGTATGGGCAGAGACCACATTCTCCAGTACACCAAGTGGGATTACACTGGCGAGCGGACCTCTCAAGGGGTATCAAGAGGATGGTAACAAAATAAAAAGCTACAGAATGAGGTTTCAGAGTTGGCTTTGTAAAGCTTTGGGAAATAAATATTTTAATATACATAGGTTTCATGCGACTTTAAGGCTGATAAACTCTGGAGAGCTGCCGCGACTGAAGCACTTGCGCTGATTAGAGTTACTCTTCAATCTATCCTTACGGGCTGACCTTGTAGACCACAAGATCCCGGAGTTAAAATCCCGCTTTCTCTCACCACAGCCACCCTTGGGGAGCTGCAGAGCCTAGGAACAGGTGCTTGGAGAAGCTGGGATGGCTCTGGGCAAGGGAAGGGACAGAAGGGCAAAAAACCTGTTCATGGGGCATATGCATTGAGCGGTCCGAGACGGACTGCGTGCTTTTCCAGCTGGAGCATGCTGAAGAGAGGGCTGCCAAACCACACCTTCTCACCAGCAGACCATCACCTGGGGCCAGGGTGCTGGCTGGCAGAGCAGGGTGGTCCCCTGGATGCGGTCCCCTGGCCGGTGGTCCTCTGGACGCCCAGCTGGGACCCTGCCAGGCGCGAGGAGCGGCACATTTCTGCCCCACGCTCCTTTGACACGCGTGCGGTGTGGGGCAGGACACGGCCCGCAGCTTTTACCTCGCCTAAGGCAGCGCTGCCTGCCTCCGAGAGTGACTGGGCTAGGGAGAGGCCGCAAGTGCAACTTGAAGCCTAAAACTGCTATGGGAAATATTTGTCCCATTATCTCACTGCTAACTAATGCCATTCATTTTAAGCAGGAGAACTTCAAAACAGCCCTGCAGCGCAGACGCCTCCCACGGCTCCCTCGGAAAATGCAAATGTGCTCTTCCTAGATGCATTTCTTAAATTCCTACATATTTTCAAAGCCATTCCTGATCTAACGTTCCAAGAGATGACAGTGCAGTAATGTAGCAATTACGGCTTTAATGGTACGGCAAAAGCCATTCTGCTTTGCACTGAGTATTTATTCTATTTAACAGTTTATTTAACAGATCCATCTTCAGCCTGTTTCACTGCACGGGATTCCTCCCCCTGCCCTGTCCGCTCACACTCCTCTCCCCCCATCCCTCCCCTCCACCAGGGAGAAATTTCACTGAAACACTTGGGAATTCAAGTCATACAAAGGGCTGTTTAGCACAAGGAAAACTACCAGGCACTACCACAGCCATCCAAAACACCGAAAGCTTCTTTGCAGTGCAGAGGCCACAAGAAAATGGCCACCCAAACAGCTATTAGGATGTTATCTGGCGCACTTTGAAGGCAAAGGCAGACCTCTTGCCTTCTAGATTGGCAAACTCAGAAAAAAATTACATGGGCTTTGGGGATTTTGCAGTCAGCCTAACCAGATTCTTACATTAGCACTCCTGATCATGTTCATATGCTTTGGAAGTATCTTTCTGTGCTCTCACCTAGAAAGGTTGGACTAGGTGATCCTTGAGATCCCTTTCCAACCTAGGGTTCTATTGTATGATTCAGCGTTACATTTCTCTGCCCCTCTTTCAGAGAGGCTTTCTGGAGCTGTGTTTCTTGCAAGCACCCATACGTAATGCTGGTCTGATCACATTAGGTGGGCATGTGTTTTATTCGCATCCTCACAGAGGTCAGGGAAATCCTCCCTTCCTGGCAAGCCAATCCAAGGACACTGTCTCAGTCTAAGGCACCTTTCTGCATTTTGGAGAGGTTCACACGCTGCTGTGAGGCTGAACAGCCAATTAGGATCTACTAAAGCATCCCTCCCTCACAAAGCAGGCTTTACAGGACCACCACTATGAGCTGGTTGCAGGTGAAGAAACACGAGTTAGCTGCTCCTCTTCTCTTCCTTAGCTGGGTAGTTGCCAAGAGGCAAAAGCCTGCGATTTGAGACTGATCTTGCCCAGTGCTGTGGGCTTCAATCTGCACAGCCATAAAAAGGGAACACAAATTATTTAGCAATTTACAACAGAGGCTCTTTGCATTTAACAGCCTTTGGCATTCCAGTCCTTTGATGTTTATTTTCTTTCCCATTTCAGCCTACACAAGGAAGCAAGCCACACCAGGCAAAGACCAACTGATCCCTTCCCATCCCCACCCAGCCTCAGATACAGATACGTTCCTCCTTCTAAACATGCACATGCCAGATGATAAGGCACTCCCCATCTCAGCCCATACCCACATGTTTGCTACTGCTGTCCTATACTCTGTAAGAGAAGGTCTTTGCCAGCCTGGCCCTTCTGGACCGAAAGGGGCTCAGCCACAGCTCTGAACCTCAGGCAATCAATGTGGGGTGGGCTGAGGGCTTACTGGAGCCAGAAAAGAGTATACCTCTAACACACGCCATCTCCTGAGGGAGGAGGTAGGCATGTATCGCACTGGTATCGCTCTGACCTCAGGGTGGTGGTGGGGAGCCGGAAGAACTTCAAGCAACATTAAAAAATTGTCTCTGAATGTCTCATTATAAAATATCTCTTCCTAAAGAAATGTAGATCTTTATATGCTAAAAAACCCCACAAAACCTGTCTCACAGAACTTTAATGTCATGCCTCAAAATACATGCAAATGTTGGCATAAGAAGATAGCATATCAATTTGTTATTTTAGTGCAGTCTCTTTCTCTTTTTAACAGCTCCACTAGACAGAATATAAACTTCACATTTTACAATAGAGCCCTCCACACATTTTGGAAGAAAAACATAAAAATAACAAAATCGATTCTGTCGTGATGAGCTCTGCATATAAGCCATACAAAATACATCTAAATAATTTTAAAGCACTGTTCTAGGGTTGTTATAAGACCAAGAAAGACCAAGTTTAATATTTTGCATCTACAAAAAAACTGCTATCAAAATAGAAATGTACCTCAGTAGATTTACTGGGCTTATAAGAAACACAGAATTCCCTAGCCTAAATCACTTCAGGCAAGAGCATTATAAGATAAGACTAAATCAAAAAAGAATGAAACAGCAAGGCAGCTGACTGATATCGGTGAATTTAGTTAGGAACACTGCTTCAGTTAGGAGAAGATGAAGAAAATAAAGAGGAATTAATCTTCCTGGCAGCAAACCTAAAATTCTGGCACAGCAAATAATCTCATTGTGGTCTAACTGAGGGAGAGGCCAGTGTCAAACCCGGCCACAGTAATCCCCTTCAGTGACGAGTCCAGAGATCACAGAGTGCCCGTGCATTACAGCGATACTGTCGCACGCTCCCAGGGGATTTCATGATGGAAACCAGAGCCTGTTCCAGAATGATGCAAAAAAAAAAAATCAGACCTCCTCCCTCCTTCAAAGCTGGCAGCCAAGCCACAGCTCTGGGGAGGGACAAGGGTGAGAGGGGCTAGAGCTGTACTCTCCCATCTTACCTCCTACTGTCTTCAAAGAAGCTCCCAACGGGGACAATAGACCCAGCTGCCTCCTTCCTGCAGATGGAGAAGAGCAGCACCTAGAGCCTGCAAAGCAGCGAGCCACAGCCCCTTGCTGAGAACAGCCAGCGCCAGTCCTGCTCTAAGGCGGGTGGTGTCATTTCGGTATGAGCCCCATCCTTACCTCCATTGTGGGTGCAACCATGTTAGCATGGAAACCTAGATTCTCAAAGTGGAGGAGGAATACATTTCTTGGCTAAAACCAAACTGCATTCAGTGCAAATCACTTTATGTGCATGAAAAGCTGGTTTAAAGTTTGTACTTTATATTAGTTTGCTCTTTCTGGCAGGCAGTACCGTGGCATACAGCACTTTCTGCTGAACTACAGCTGCTCCATTGCATGATGGCTGCTAAAACGGGGCTAAGAGCAGGCCAGAACAGGTACCCAAGCCAGGTGCTTTTTGAGGAGGGCACTACACAGAGACCAAACGTGCCTGAGCTTGGCTGTAACTCTGGAGGAGGTGCTGCAGGTCTGCAGCACAGAAGTGAGCAGGAGGCAGGAGTGAGGTCTTGGAAGGGTGACACCCCAGCACATCAAAATATTGCAGGCTCTGCTGCTGACAATTTGGTCACAAAATCTTAAACCATGCTGTGAAGTGGGTGTAGCCCAAACTTGGTCACACTCCTTTCTCCGGACAATTACAAAGCAATTCTTCTCCAGAAGAACATGGGATCCACACTCAGAAATCCTTTTACATACCATTAAGCACCAGCTAGAGCTGAAGGGACAGGGATCAATCCAGGCTCAGCCCCATAGTCTAGGCACCATAAGCCACCCCCTGTTTCAGCAGCAGACTGGGAATTGGATGGATAACAGAAGTACTGTGGCAAATAATATTTTTTGGGGTTTATTGCTTTCCTAGTAATGCCTAGTGGCTGATGGATTCTGTGAACTACGTACAGTGTTTGCCAAGCCATTTTCATATATTCACTGAAACTGAAAGTCTCAGCATCAAGGATGATGGGCAATATTTCACAAATCTTCACAATTATCAAAGTGATGACTACCCTAATTGATTTTGTATCACCAGCAAACTTTCATGTCATAACCATTCCCTTTTCCAGATAATTTTTAATATGCCAAACAGCATATACTAATTTAGTATAGCCTCTTCAGCTATCTGTGCTGAATTTGGCCTGTTCTCTTTAGTTAAGCCAAAGACTATAGGACATTGCCATATAAACAATGACAAAAAGGACCAGTATAAAATAGAGACTTATCTCAGCAAATAGTAATAAAAGGGAAATGGAATAAACAGATTAAAAAGTACATAAATATGTGTGCACAGAATCAGTAAGAACACAATGTTGTAACTATACACCCTAAGGGCTTAACACTACAAACAAAAGAGCAGACATGCTGAATAATGTTTTGATATTCGAATGTTTGTATGGCCAAGACCTAACCTTGCAATGCTTTTTAACCATTGGTGGGTGTAAATGGGGGTTAAACACACATAATTTAATACAAGTCATGTACTTAACACATAAGGACTTGTCCTGCATCTCAGCTGTATGTGCTGAGCATGTGACTTCGGTTTTAGCAATTCCACATGTCCAGAGATTAAGACTCAGACAAACCCTAATTCCCTAGCCCCAAAGCATGAGGCTTGTTTAAGTATAAGAGTTTTTTTTAAATAAGCTTTTATATTCTTCTTGTCCAATTTCTGAGTCTGTGAGGTTCATTTTTTTGCAAGTGTTTCTCTAAATACGCAAGGGTAGAAAGTTGCTTCCCTAAAAAAAAAAAGCCCAAATTAAAAGGCAAGTTTCTCACATAGTCATCTGATTTTGAGAGTTAGGGTTTTAAAGGAAGCACCAACTATCACGAGACTTATGATAAAATCACAAGTCAGCAGCACTCTCTGAAAGCCTCCTTTCCCCTTCCTGCCAAGATTAGCTTTGATGCCTCAGTTATTTCTATCCAACTATTATCTGTTACTGTGAATGTGTATTTACCATACAATAAAAGTATCATGAGATTTATGTACAAATTCCAAACCAAATCACCTGCTAATAGGAATTGGCACTCTCAGCTTTCCATAACCACAATAATAGCTGGCTTGATCAGGACATCTAAAAAGAAGTAAATTGGGGGTTGAACTCCTACCTCATACCTTTCATGCTTATCTCAGAGAGCTTTGTAAAAGAAAGCAGGAACCCATATCTTTGTTTTATGCATGGGGAAGCCAAGGTACAGGCAAACCACAGTGACACGTTCTACAGCAGAGATGGCCATGGAGACAGATCTGGATCTCCTGACCACCATGTGTGCACAGCCCCCTCCCTTGCCGCCTCGCCAAAGAAAATAAAACAGTCTTCTCTTGCAAAGCATGCATTTAGGATGGGAAAGCACAAATCTTGTTTCCTCACCAGAATCGGTATCATGAGCATCCGGGAGCGTGAGATGCAGTCCGTTATGCTTTTTGATCACCGGTGTTTCAGTCACGCTACTTCCTTTCTCAGAGCCACTGTAAAGAAACAAAATCGTGTTACCTGGCCACCTCTCAGCAGAGCTACAACATTCCCCTCGAAGCAGGCATAGTCTCATCTAGCTTCCCCAGGAACCAAAAACTCGAGCTTGCCAGTTGCAGGCAATCAGCTTCTTGAATGTGTTGTTTTAACACATGCACCCTGCCAATGGACAGGAAGCTCAGAGACACCGTGCCTAGCAAGGGCTCCAGGGCGCACGCTGGTATCAGTTTGTTTGGCTGTTGGGAGTTTTTGCAAACTACGGGACAAGGAACATGTTGGCAGCTAGAAGCCAGACCAGAGGAGGCCAACCAGCAGCCCCACGTCCAGGAAGAACCACCATCCCTTGGGCTCCTCTGCAAGAGGAGTGGTTCACAGGTCTGCTGTGCTGATCCTTTTGAAACAGATGGATCACCACCTTCCACCCAGGTGCTAATTTCTTCATTTCAAAGGGATTTTTTTCTCCTCTTCTACCTTTGTTCTGTTCAAACAGAGGAGGAAGATAAAAGCTACCACATAGCACCGCTTTATGAAAGGAAGACTATCTGGTCTGCTCTTCTACTAGATTTCTGTCCTCACAGTAGAGGTCTTCCAAAGGGAAACTCAAAAAAAAAAAAAAAAAAAAAAAAAAAATCATGTGCCTAACAAAAAAGTCACTTAACGCAGATCTCCTGAGCCTTTCTGTCACCAGATAGTCTGCCATCCCCCCAGGATCAGATGGTGATGATATCTCCTCTCATCATCCATTAAGGCACAAAATATCAAAAGGAAAAGTGACTGCCCTGGCTACTTTTTCTGGCACACTTCCAAGCCTGCAGCTCAGCCTTTGGACAATATTCCTCCCAGGAAACAAGCTGTCACAGAGTCATGATTGCTGTGGATGCCCTGTCTTCCAGTATGATCAGTCCTTTGGTAGGGATGCACAGGATTGCCTTGAATTTTCATTAATCTAGCAGAAGAATTAGCTTGGGACTGCTACTTGGTTTTAAACATGATTGTTCTGTTATCACAGAAAACAAGAGCAAAAGATAAACCAAGTCTTGTCCTTCCCACCTAACAATCTAGGACTGAAAGCCACTTACTGTCGTTATATATGGCGGTAATCGTATTTACAATAGCTAATTAACCTTTTACTTGGGCTTTGGGATCAAATGTTATGGTTTCTGTTAATTGACCCTGAATTCAGGGCATTTGACATGTTTTGCACAAATCTCTGGCCTTGACTGGGCCTCCCTGCCTTCCATACTGGTTTCCACACTGATATCTCATTTGAGATTATCATGTGGTGACAGGTACTGGGGAAAATTAAATTCTCTGTTCTGCGCCTCTGCCTTGCCTAGCCAGGATTAACGCTAGCGTCGTTACCCTGACCCCATGGGGGTTGCTGGTGGAACCATAGAGGCATTTCTGTCTTGCTGGTGCGTTGCAGATGCAGGAATGTGGCAGCTGCACTCCAAAATACTACTCCCATGAGGCGAGCACTGCTTTGATGCAGCAGCCATCACCACAAGTTACTGCTCAGGCCCATGGCCGAACATTGGCTCCTACGCTGTACTCCTACACAAAGGGCAGGTGGGGAAGCTGGTGGATGGCGTAAGTTTGGCCATGGTACCAACTGACCGCAGGAGAGCAGCATTCAGAGAAGGCTTGATGAGGTGGCCTCCGTTAACAAAAACGCATCTCCATGCAGTCAGCAGCATGGCCTTTTAACTGGGAAAAGGGACTGAAATCCCAGCCTGAAAAGCAAGTGGACTGCATTGTGCTAAACAGACATTCCCAAGGGCTTTATTTGTTATGCTGGAGAAGGGCTGAAAATTAACTGCTCCCTCAAAGCTGCAGTACAAGGCCTTCAGCCAAGAAAGCTTTTCCACGCGCCATGGAAGGGACAGTAGCCAGAGGATTTGCCTTCTGCATACGACACTGGAAAGGCTGACAGTGGAAGATGTTGCCGCTCCACTGCCCGTGGTTTTAAAAGGTAGTTGAGACAGTGCATAAAACGGTCACAAAAATTGCTGAAGGAAACCCTTGATCGTGAACGACTGCAGAGGCACCAGTTTATCAGAGAGAAGACGAGAGGGGGACTTGAGCATGGCATATGAATAGCTGCCTGGGGAGCAACTACTGGGCCCTGAAAGACTCTTTAGTCTAGCAGTCATGGTAAGATTGCAAAGCCAGGGAAACTTAGGCCAGACAAATGCAACCAAATGTAACTAAAGCACAATTTAATTGTGTGGGCGATTAGCTACTGATTGAACTAGTAAAGAGCATTGAGTGCAACAGCTCTCAACTTCATGTAAATAAGGCTTCTCTCTTCTAAGAGGCCCTAAAAAATGTCTGTGTGGAAATCTCACTGATAAGAATTCCCCTTAAGTTCCTTTGCAAGCCCAACCCGGAATATTTTACATACTTGTTAGCCGATACTGCTGCAATTTGCTTAATACAAGGGGCTTCCTGGGTCACTGAATCCAGTCTAAAACTGCAGGTGCCAAGCTCATTCTCGTTACCTTTCAAGCAGTACTTCCCAGTACAAAATACTTTATGAAGAATTTTTTGAGAAAGCCAAAAAGTCCCACTGGGAGTAGCAGTGAAACACACATTAGAGTTCTTAATAGCAAAAGCAAAGCAATTTGTTTTGTTTAGGCTTCTATGGCTAAAGCTTATCAAAAGCCTCTAAAGCTATCACATCTTGGGTTGTAAGTATAACAGCCAAAGCACAGCTTGGGATCCGAATGCAGTCCAAATTTTTTTGTCTGTTTTCCAGTGTACTCTCTTCAGTCTCAGGCTTGCAGCTCCCCCTTGCAAGAGTAAATCTTACTCGGTCCTAATTGTTCAGCATGGATTTGACCAACTTCACGAGGACCACCCATGGGTATGAAGATTATTCATGTGAGAGGTACATGATTGAATCCTTAGCTAAAGAGACTAAGGCCTAAGGAAATCAATAATTCCAGCCTGTAAGAGACCATTTCTCTGCTGCTATGTAAATATCTTGATTTTTGTGTTTGGTATGTTGCTCATTGGCTAAAACAACAAGGAATTACTAATAATCCTTCAAGGACAGCTTGTATATAGACATGCATAATTCTGTATATATACTTCTGGTGTTTATAAAGCTTATGTAAATGCATACAGAAATTGGGGAACAATACAAGCTTTGTCAGTCTGCTGTCATGACGGTTGCCATGAAGCATGCTGTCCTTCCCATGAAACACAACCTCTATGGATATTACAGGTGAGATATAAGTATGGTCTTGGGTTAACATTCCCAAGACAGTTGTACAGTGGTAGCATGACTGGGACAACATCCAAAGGGTGTGGGAAGGAAAAACACCCAGCCTGGTAACTTTCACACTTCCTAAACTTTTTCTTTCAGAGGGGAAGGAGAGGAGAGGGAGCGAACAAACAGGGAACCTACCACTGTTTTAACGCTGATTTAGTAGGACAAGGGAAGGGAGAAAGCTAGCTACATCCTTCACTCCTTTCCTTGCCCAGTTAGCACTGGGCTACGCAGCCGGCTTGTAACCACAGCGTATGAGAGTCTTGGCTGTGCGCCTTTCCTTGGCTTACTCAGTTCAGGACTGTGTCACCCACACACATTTCTGGGTGGTGCCAGCTACTACAGACTGTGAACAATAGCTGATGGATGCTCAGAGTACTGGGGGGACAAAAAAAAAAAACCCCAAACTGCCCTCCATTCTGGACATCTGAATATTGACAGAGATGTTTAGATATTCAGATCAGAAACTCTTGGTTCAAACTGCTTCTTCAATCTTAAAATCTCAAGGTTTTGTTTTTTTATTTGGGTTGGGTTTTTTTGTTTTTTTTTTTTAAATCATGGCTATTCCAATTTTTTTTAATCACAGCAAGGAATATTACTTGTGTTTCTTTTTAAACAGTACTGATTACTACCCTTTTTCCAAATAACTTAAGTATCTAGACAATTGAAGAAACTAACTGCATCTCCATTACGAAATCTGAACTTGTTAGACAGTGGAGAAAGCCTACCTGTGCTGTAAAACATTATATACCATCTGCCACATCTGCAACATATGTCTGCATGTCACCAGAGCCTCTTCAGGTCCTTTATGTATCCATTCCAGTTTTACTTTGGTGAAGAGTAAGCTGCAAGATGAAAAAGAATAACTCCTGCTTTATTGGCATCTCATAAACACAGAGAATCGGTATCACTAGCGAGATCCTGGCAGCCAGCATTTTTACTTGCTTTGTATGTGCAGCAATAAAGGAAAACACCGTAGCACAAAACATTTCATTTGGCTCAACTTTGATTCCCCACAAGGAGATGAGAGGATTAACAATCTTCCTCAGCTGCAGTCAAATTTGCGTCACAAAGCTGGCAGGACAGCGTTAAAAGCAATACATGGCAAAGCTAACAAGGTGAAACGTACAGCGAAGCTCATTTTATTTTGGACAGCATTAAAAACAGAATAAAAAGGAATCACCCTAATACAGATGCCAGGCTGTGTTCTTAGTCTGGCACCTTCCTACAGCACTGGCTCATACAATAAATTTCAGACAAAAACCCCAACACGCTCATCAGTACGGGCACACCATTATGCAATGCTGCGCAGGAAGGAAACGCTTTTTCTTAACCTCAGCTGGCGAGCATCTCGTGCCCCCAGGCCAGACAGCTGATAGCCCTTGTACATTCTTGTTCTAGGTAGTGTAACTGCTGCTGCTATTCTTATACCTAGAGAATACGTACTTGCACAGATCACTGGAATTCAGCAGAATTAGGTCAAGCAGAGGTTAGAAGACAGAGTCAGCAACGATACAACCTACCACTTGCTGCTACTGTGGCTTTTAACACCATCCTTCACAACACCCATTTTATTTTTTTGTTTAATTGCCAAGATGATTGAATTTATTTCTTATTTACTAGTGTAAATTCATTTCTCTGCTTTAAATGTTTTCATAAAGTCCAAGATCTACGCATTTGGAATTAGCTAGTGGTTAATCCACTGCATGCATGTATATGTACATATATGCATACAACAGTAACAGCTGAGTGCTAAAAATCCTAAACAGTTTTGTAAATGTAACCTGCAGGCTCCTGAGGAATCCAAACAGCTTCAAAGAGACAACAGCAACTGCATAGATGATGTCAAAGATGACTTTACAGCTGAGTAAGAGATCCTTCACTTGCAATAATTAGAAATCTGTGGTTCATATCTACAGTAACATGCTAAAATGGCAGTCCCATTCTGCACTAACAAACATTAGGGGTTTTTTTGGGGGGGATGGAAGTCACCAAAACGTAGCCCAACTGTACCAACTGCTATAGGGAACTCTGGTCGTGGCCACTGCAACGGTTTGACCTCACAGGAGAAGCATTCAACAAAATTCCCCAGGTACAAACTTAGGCTCAGAAAGGAAGATCAAGATTCATATTCAAGGGAATTTGTCTTTGTCCTTTACTATTTTGTATCCCTACTCTATGTCTACCTTTGATTTTCTTGTTACTGATCTGAGCAAAACAAATGCTAATAAAAACATCCCCTGCTCTTGTAGATGCTGACCCCTAACCGAAAGGAAGTGCCTTCATGATTCAGGTAGTTATTTTTGGGCTAGATTCATGGACTGGTCAAAAATTTTGCTGGGGCAAAGAATATGACAGTGGACACACTTGTAAGAAGATAAAAATGTGACTGAATTTGAAGGAGTGGCTAACAAGGGAAACTGGCCAGCGATGCATGCCACTCTGTATCCCTTAGCTGGGCTCATAAGAACCAAGCTTGTTTTAATACAACAAAATATAGAATCAATCACTTAGGAGCAAGGAATATATACCATACTAGAAAGATGGGAGGTTATACGCCAGCGTGTAACGTATTATAAAAGACAGCTTCATGAACGTGAAGTTCCCGAAAAACAATGTAGTCAAGAGGTCAAACAATCCTTAGCATCCATATACGGACGCACAATGAAGTAGGAGCTGAAAGATGTGGTTATTCCTGTTCACAGCATCAGCAAGACACTTACTATAATCCTGTTTCTAGTTCTTGCTCTTTAACTGCAAAAGAAGACTAAAAATGGGATGAGGTTCAGAAAAAGGTTATGCAAGTGATCTGAGGGTTAGAAAAACATTTTTCATCAGAGGCTTAAGAAGCTCAGTTTATTTGGTTTAACCAAAAAGCAGCAAAGAAATAATTTTGCCCCAGCCCATGAGCACCTACATGGAGAAGTATTTAATTGTGAGTCTTTGATCTAAATGAAAAGGCATCAGAAAATCCAAGGATTTGTTGGAAGCTGAAACTAGTCAAATGGAGATTTATAAGTAAATGCAGACACGTAACTATCAAAGCAAATAATCTTTGCAGCAACTACCTTGCGTGCACAGTAAATTCTGTAGTCTTTAAAGCCTTTTCAGCAAGACAGGATAACATCTGGAAAGCAATGCTAATGCACAAACAGAAGCTACGGGTTTGATGCGTAGGCTCGTGAGTGAGCTTCTTTGGACTGCGCTGTGCAGAGGGGTGAGACTGCATCACCACCTTCCTTCTGGCAATTAATCTATTAAAAATATTCTACTAGTCCAAGAAACTACCACATTGAACAACCTATGCTATCTTAAGCATACAGAATATTTTCTAGACCACTACAAACTTGCAAAACTAAAGACCTTCTAAAGCACAGTATGAGCCTCTTTGCAGCAGAAGAGTGGTGGTCAAGGAGCCTAAGGCCTAGAGAAGAAAATAGCCATATTAGATCCCTGAATGACTCCACGCTCGTGAACTCTGTAAGGTAGCACTCTTAATATTAATGACATAGAAGAAAATAGGAATGAGGAATCTGTAAACAGTCAAACTACTATACAGGAGGGATATACTAAGAGTTCCTCCTGCCTTTCACATTAGTAGGGATATAGATGGCTTAGTTATCTGCAGGCAATTAAAATCATTACATAGTATATATTTAAACATTGCAATTAAATATTAAAAAGACAAACACATGAAGTTCTTCTTGCCATCACTCCGATGCGTACTGTTTACAGTGATTATACATCAACTTCGGATGAAGATGCAATGCTCTCTTCCAGGAGAGAGTACGACTAGTGAAACACAGGAAAAGCCAATCTCTCACAAAAACATAACAAAGTCTCAGCAGAATATTATTACCAGTCATAAAGCACAGGCACACAAAGGCTAAAAAAAAAAAAAAAAAAAAAAAAAAGTCATGCAACTTCAGCAACTGCCTGCAGCGCAACATTACCAGATCTCAGAGACAGCATGCGCGGGTAGCTGTTGTGGTAATCACCTTTGGAATGGTGCTATTCACGCTATCGTGCAATAATATAATGAACCAAACCAAAAGGCAAATGGGAAGAACATTAAGTGGGAAAAAGAATCAAATCATACTGACAACAGTAGTAAACAATGCAATTAAATATGATCATTAAAAGGTAGAGATAAAATCAGTACATTGGGCTCTGTGTGCTATATGCTGTTTCTATTTCTCAGCTTCTAAGTTTTGTAACAGCAAAACCAGATAAATAAAAATACAGGGAAAACACTGAAGTGAAGTAGGTGGCATTATCACTTATCTCAAGCTTATCGTTTTATTACTGAGATAGTACCATTGCTACAAATAAATCTAACGGGTATTGCGTCACATCAGTGTCTGCAAACAACTTGGGCATAAATAAAAATTACGTATACACAGATTTCACCTTATTATATTTTCTTAATATCATTTGACTGTACTTTTGTATGATGCTTGTAATATTAAGCAGAGCAGACTCTTAAAGAGATTCATCACATAAAAATAGCCCCAAGATTATCAATACAGTCATTGGTAATTCTGTTAGCCTCTGAAAATGAAAACAGAGTGATTTGGGCTAAAGCAAACGTATAAATTGGTACTACATAAGCATAGGAAAAGAGAGCAAAAAGAAATCTACAAATCATTCATGTAATGTGTATAATTTCAGGGACAATAACAATGGAAAATAACCAGTGCTTACTCTTGATACTGGACTCTAAGCTCCCTCTCAGAGCAGGTCTTCTTTTATCATCTAGGTAGACAGTATGCAAAGGTTTCTATTCCTTGATGTAACATCAGGTTACTGCCACAAGCAAACACAGGTGTATCTGTCGCAGCAACATTAACTCTGGCTAAGTAAAATCTGTATACAGTTGACTTTGCTGCAATATGAAGCTCTGAAAATTCAAAATCAGGTTTCCCAGGTTATCAAAATTTCAGTAGTACAAATGACATAAAAATCATTAAAATATGCCACGCATTGACAAAAAATTAGGGACTGGAATACTGGAAGGCCTATAAAAATTTTCATCAGAAAGCAAGCTAATTTAGTTGATTTCAGGAGGAATTCGCCATTTGGCTTCATAAAGACTGATTTCAGCTGCTGATGCCCACCACATCTCAAGGCCTGGCCAAATACACCTACCTAGCCCTCCTGAAAGTCTTCTAATCCTACGTGGCTAAACTCTCAGCCTTTAAGTTCTTTAATACTATCCATGAAGAAAAGAGGCAGTTCTTTCCTGTCACTGGCAATCTAATTACTGAGGTTTAATAGCTAATGCTTATTATCAGAAGGTTTCACATGTCCATGTAGTAGACTATAAATGCTTATAAGCACATCTGTGGAAGAAGTGGTAAGATGCTACATTTTGTAATAACCCATTGACTACTTTATGGATGCTGTAGGACTACATAAAGATTTATTAATCAGTTAATTGTTGGGACTTTTTAAAGCTGCTTTAAAATGGAGGGTTTAGTATCAAATGTAGCCCTTTAACTACACATTTGTACAGCATCACAATGGAATCTCTGTGCCCCATCATCTGACAAGCAATAAATAATGCTCGTACTATTACAAACAGTAACTCATTCTACTCATTTCAAGGTTGAGAGACTAAATTAGGAATAATGAGTATTATGTAGTCGTTTATCTACATGTTTTGCCATTCACCGGCTGCTTAGAACCCCTCCAGTTTTTCAGAGCTTGCCAGCAGCTGCTCAAAGATCTACATGTCTTTGAGCTTTACCAGATCAGGGCCATCATTCCCCAAAGGCTTTCATTACTGACCCAGATTTGCCTACCTACACACAGAGCTGCTAGGTTGTTTTGGATTTTGAATACA